TTGTCATACCCTACATCAAATCTAGCTATTCTTTCAAAGGTACAGAACAACCATGTAAATACTTTATGTACTTTGTGATACCCTACATCAAATCTAGCTATTCTTTCAAAGGTACAGAACAACCATGTAAATACTTTATGTACTTTGTGATACCCTACATCAAATCTAGCTATTCTTTCAAAGGTACAGAACAACCATGTAAATACTTTATGTACTTTGTGACACCCTACATTAAATCTAGCTATTCTATCAACTTTCAAAGGTACAGAACAACCATGTAAATACTTTATGTACTTTGTGACACCCTACATTAAATCTAGCTATTCTATCAACTTTCAAAGGTACAGAACAACCATGTAAATACTTTATGTACTTTGTGATACCCTACATTAAATCTAGCTATTCTCAAAACACGTGCCATCGATTGAACAAGCGTTATCCTTATTGTACGCTTTATCATCACTGTCTATTTTGAACTTACTCTCCAACAGCAGACAGCTTAGCTTTTTCATCAGGTTTCTTTCTGGGTCGTCCTGGTTTGACCTTCAGTGGTGAACCCCCTGTTTTGCCAAGAGTGCCACTTGCCATAAAATGGGAGAAAATTTCAGTTTGCTGAAGCAAGTAGTCAAACCTCTTGGCTCGATCCGTTTCCTGTTAAAAGAAATACTAAAACTTAACTTTACCTCAAACAAAAATAAGGTTCAGACTGCTTTTTGTGGTGTGTTTGTTTGTCATTGAGCACAAAGTTACACAACGGGCTATTTGTGCTGTGCCCACCACTGGTTTAAACTAATTTTCAAAGAGTATTTAATTACCTAAAGTTACAAAACAATTACTAACCAGCTTTGTGTCATATTCCTTGTTGTCATCATTAGACGGAGGTAAGGTTAGATCATCAGTATCTTCTTCAGGCTGTTCCTGAAAGGAAAATCATCATTTAGTATTTGATGCAATAAAAATTGTTTTATAACAGTTCTTTACATTATCTGCTAGAAAGTTAACTTTACATACTGACCCATTCTTATGACAGGCTATATAAGATTAAAAAAAGACTTCCAACTCCAGTTATAAGGACCAGCGACCAGATATTCATATACCAAGGTTTTAACATCTATACAACAGTATTGTATTGTTGATATACATGTTAAAACAAGACTTGTTTACATGTTAATATGCCAATGTTTTAACATGTAAACAAGTCTTGTAATGTATTGTTAATATACCAATGTTTTAACATCTATACAACAGTATTGTATTGTTAATATACCAGTGTTTTAACATCTATACAACAGTATTGTATTGTTAATATACCAATGTTTTAACATCTATACAACAGTATTGTATTGTTAATATACCAATGTTTTAACATGTATACAACAGTCTTGTATTGTTAATATACCAATGTTTTAACATGTAAACAACAGTATTGTAATGTATTGTTAATATACCAATGTTTTAACATGTATACAACAGTATTGTAATGTATTGTTAATATACCAATGTTTTAACATGTATACAACAGTATTGTAATGTAACTGTTAATATACCAATGTTTTAACATGTATACAACAGTATTGTAATGTATTGTTAATATACCAATGTTTTAACATCTATACAACAGTATTGTAATGTACTGTTAATATACCAATGTTTTAACATGTATACAACAGTCTTGTATTGTTAATATACCAATGTTTTAACATGTATACAACAGTCTTGTATTGTTAATATACCAATGTTTTAACATCTTTACAACAGTCTTGTATTGTTAATATACCAATGTTTTAACATGTAAACAAGTCTTGCAATGTATTGTTAATACATCAATGTTTTAACATGTAAACAAGTCTTGCAATGTATTGTTAATACATCAATGTTTTAACATGTAAACAAGTATTGCAATGTATTGTTAATACATCAGTGTTTTAACATGTATACAATAGTATTGTTAATACAATAATTGCAGTGTATTGTTAATATAGCAATGTTTTAACATGTAAACAAGTCTTGCAATGTATTGTTAATACATCAATGTTTTAACATGTAAACAAGTCTTGCAATGTATTGTTAATACATCAGTGTTTTAACATGTATACAATAGTCTTGTTAATACAATAATTGCAGTGTATTGTTAATATGTCAATGTTTTAACATGTACACAACAGTATTGTAATGTAAATAGCTATCTTCTGAGTGTATGCACATTGTGTTAGTATGTTAATAACACTGTGTATAACTTAGGTCTTGCTATACAAAGTGAGCTTTTTTAATATATGTGAAAATCTGTACTTAGTTACCTTATTAACATAATCAATAAACAGTTTCATTGTTACTGTAAATTCACCATTAGGAATGAAATCATAATGTTGAAAAAGTTAAGACTACAACAGAGAAATATTATAATTATAAATGATGATTCAGAAGTTACTTTAAATATACTGATGCTTTTAATAACTTAAACACGTCATTTAACACCTATATATTTAGAGAAAATCACAATTTTACAGCTTTTTCAATAACGAAATAAAAATCAGATAAAATAAAATGTATATAACTATCACTATCAACATCACTGATTAAAAAAAAAAAGATATGCCCTACAAATACACTTAAACCTTGTCCACACTTATCTAACAGTAACATTACCAATCAAATATTTCGTAAATTAAATTTATTTTCGCCAAAATTATTCTGAGTCTTGCCTTTGTCACTTTCCTATGTGCCTAGTACTAGTAAAATATATTTTATTAATATTATTGAAATTTTGCTGTATGTAAATTTACGAAAATTCTATCTAATACTTATTTCATGTTGATTATGTCAAAATAAATTATAAAATCTACACCGTATAACGAATATTATTATTAGTAATAGTAATGTAAATAACTAAATTACAATCATTGAATAATGCATTAAAAAATTTAGCCTTAGGCCTAACTAACTGCTCTGAATGTCGTGAAGCCTAACCTACTCTTATGTACACAGGCTGAAATCCATTGTTCTCATTCACAAAGAAATACCAGTTTTATTTACTGAAGTTATATATTTGTTACAATAAAGTAAATACTTACTTCTACCCTAGCAACATCTGTTGGTCCTTCTGTTTCTGGAGTTGCCATTTTACACAAAGAACGTCTTCCGATTACCGAACCTGTCAGTGTCACACAATTACCAAAACTGCGACAAGCACCGGTGTCTTAATCCGCGCTGTATCCTCCTTTTCGCGGTTTTTCTCTAGAACTATCTATCGTACTTAATAGGAGTGAGAGTATACTAGCATGATCATCTATTTCTTTCAGCAGCCGTTTTAAGATTTTAAAGTTTTCATATTTAATAGAGTATTTTATTAATGAAACATTATTTAATATATGTTGAATGTGTTTTAATAAAAATTAATTTCTTTATTTTAATACTATTGTAATTTTCTCAAACTTCTAGAAAATGATCCAATCACTGATCAGTATTTGTATATACTTTCAAGCATTGTGCGACACCTTCAGAGTTTGAAAAAAATATATTTTATTTTATGAATCCAATAAGAACATTTTTTTATGCTCAAATACAGTTAGCTATTTATATGTATATATATATATTAAAATGTTGTCAAAAAATACACAAAATATAAATTAGTGCCAATAATGAAAAATTATATATAGTACACAGGCAAGTTCAAATAACGCTTTGATTTGAAATACCTCTTTTATAAAAAGGCTAAAACAAAATTGTTCAGTAAGTACTTAACGTAAAATTATTGCAGTTAATTACCAATAGCCAGTGTGTGGCCTTTTGTTCTTTCTTATTTACATTGATTATACTGAAAGAGACATACGGTAATCAGTAAATAGTTTACTTATTACATTAAACTCAAAATGATTTATGTTAACTCGTAAGTTAGATAAATATTTGGCAAATGTTTGTTTGTTGTTAAGCGCAAAACTACATAATGGGTTCTCTATGCTGTGCCCACAGCGAGTATCAAAATCCGATGTTTAGCCTTGTGTGCCCTCAGATTTACTGCTGAGCCATCAAGGGGTATTTGGCAAATATATCCATAATTATAATAAGTGCAAGGTTTGATTAACATAATTCGGATTACACGTTTAATATGCATAGGAACTCTCTCAATAGCATGCTCGAAGAAAATAATTTTGGTATAATGGCAAATAAGTCACCCAAGAAGTAGTGTTCTGTTGCTAGTAATGAAGCCGATAGAATTTTAGGGTGTATTTATAGACATATTGATTATTTGTTACATGTAAGAAGAAGTAATATAGCTCTGTACAAACCATTTGTTAGGAATAACTTGAAATACTGTGAAACAGGTTTATTTTTCAAGTTTAAGGTTTGGAAAAATACAGGATAGGTTCTAGAACGGTTTTATATTACTGTTGCGTCAGCGAGGTCACGTGACTAGTGTCACGCCACGTTTCTAGAACTATCTTGTTCCTTCGTGAATGTCCTAGCATTTACTAGATATATGTTGTCTGGTATATATATATAAGACGCTCACAACGTGACAACAATGTGTGTAGGTAGTGAGTAATTGAACTGCAGTCAGAAGTATTGTTGAAGTTAACGTTCGTTGTTATAGAGCGACTGTTGAAAATAAGTGTATCGTAAAGTTATATTCAGAAAGAATAAACCAGTTTTATTAAATAAAGACTTGAGTCGCTAAAGTTTCAGTCGGAACGAAGTTACGGAAAATTAATTAACAAACGGAGACGTAACATTACTAACAAGCTGTTTATGAAAGTAATGAACTGTCGTTAGTAATAATGGAAGTCGGTACTTTACATGAGTCTAAGAGAGGATCGAATCGACGATTTTTTGAAAAATAAATGATTGACTTATGTATATACTTTTCTCAAGGATGGGTGTGCAAGAACAACATTATTGAAGGGGCCAAATGGTCCCTTGTTATCTATTGTTATATTGTAATGGTTAATAGTCTAAACGATCCCCTAATTCTATTTATTAATTAGTTACTATTTTATCAATTACTATACGGTTACGGTTTAAATGCCGAAACATTAGAAACCAATAGGCCTAAAATTTGTAATTAAAATCACGTTAATTGCAGATGTTGTTTTATGTTATGTGACTCTCATGATGATTAAGCCTGATCTATGGATCAACATTCTTTATGAAAAACATCACAATAACAGTGTTTTGTCAGTTAAGAAAGATTTGTTAAAATTACCAATTTTTATTTTGATGTCCCATAAAAGTTAATCTATAGATCAAGTTTCGTCGGAACAAAGCGTTGTACACAGTATAATTGATATATTAGTTTCTACTATTGTGAGATACAGATTTCGTTCTTTTTTATTTCATTACTTATGAAATTAACTTTTTAGTAGTCACTTGATTCGGCGCACATAAAAATAATAATGGCATAACAAGTTCAGGTCTATTTGATCTTTGTCAGATTGTTAATAAATTGAAATAATTCTATAACAATTTATCACCATTTTGTTTGTTTTGAATTTTGCGCAAAGTTACAGCGTAAGACTAGAGGGAAGACAGATAGTCATCACCACCCACCGCCAACTCTTGGGCTATTTTTTTTCCAACGAATAGTGGGACTGATCGTCACATTATAACGCTCCTATGGCTGAAAGGGCGTGCATGTTTGGTGTGAAAGGGATCGAACCCGCGACCCTCAGATTGCGAGTCGAGCGCCCTAACCACCTGGTCATGCCGGGCCTTATCACCATATGATTCCACCCTTTACCCAGTTTTGCTACTTATGGCTCCGTGCGACTTTTTCATCAGAATAAAAACGTTTTTTCTCTCTCTTTAAATATACGTTATTTAGACTGTTGAATTTCTATTAATAAGTAATCGTCGTCTTCTTCATTCGTCCTTAATCCCATGTATTTCTATGATCTGCTCATCCGGTAGTCCTTCTCCAATAATCTTTTACCCTCCGCATCCTTTGGCGTTACACTTTCCATCTCAGGTTTTGACGCCCTCTACCTTCGACTGGAATTCCAAATATTCTTCTTACTCGGTTATATTCCTCCCATCTTTCCATGTGCTTATACCTCATCGGTCTAGCTTCACGTGCTATTTCTGTTATCTAACATCTCTTTGTAATATCCTAATCCTACCTTCTAAGGGTAATCCAAATATCTAACGTAACATTCTCATTTCTGCTCTTTCCAGCATACCGCCTTCTTTGCTTTTCAATGCCCATGTCTCCGTTCCATACAACAGAACTGGCCTAATTACTGTGGCATTTTCTTGTCATGAACTTAGATTAGTTATAGGATACGTGAAATAATTATCTTCGACATAGGATTATTTCAACTAAATTATTTATATAAACAGGGTACTCGTGTAACGACAAGGAGTTTGGTGAGATCGAGAAAAAAAGATATGCTTATTTTTTAAATTTATACAATTAGAAAAGCAAACATTTATTTGACGAATTACTAAGTTAGTCAGTCAGCTTTCTTGATTTGTACATGAGATTAAGCCTGATCCAAAGATGCATATTATACTATATAGTCAACTTTAAACAGACAAAATCAAAGTATTACTTCATAACATATACTGAGTTCACGTTAGAAGTAAACCCATTGCTCATTTGTACATTCTTGGTTGAAGCCAGATGGTAATAAACACTTGGGATAATAGAAACTTGTTGATTAAATTCAAAGAAACGACAGCCTTATTGACATTCTACCACATTTAATGTCAGGTCCACCTGTACAAAGTGCTAAGTTTGGTTGTTCTTGAATTTCGTGCAAAGCTACACGAGAGCTATCTGCACTAGCCGTCCCTAATTTAACAGCGTAAGACTAGAGGGAAGACAGCTAGTCATCGCCACCCACCGCCAACTCTTGGGCTACCTTTTTCCAACGAATAGTGAGATTGACCGTCACATTTTAACGCCCCCATGGTTGAAAGGGCGAGCATGTTTGGTGGGATGGGGATTCGAACCCGCGACCCCCAGATTGCGAGTCGAGCGCCCTAACCACCTGTCCACCATGCTGGGCCTCAAAGTGCTAAGATTCCAGGGTTTCTTAGAATTTTTTGTTGATATTGTTACTATACATGGATTAATAACCTCATGTGCACTACTTAATATGTAAAATCAAGTGATTGTGATATAAAAGAATCAAACAACAGATTCTCCACATTTTTTAAACAAAGCTGTTTTTATTTAGATACACACACACACACCTAGAAACAAATCACATCACCTACAAAACTTCACTTGTGACTAGTCAAAATAATAAACTAAAGAGCATGCAAACTTTTAAACTATAGTTAAAAATATACCAGCTTTAGGAAATACAACTCATTAGTGTTAAGTGATTATCAAGTATTATTGGATATAAAAAAAAGCAGTTACAAAACACACAAATATCAAATACTTTTCTTACTTATGCAATGATAACATATTAAACAAGATAACATCCTAACAACATAATCCCCTTAAAAATCAATATTCATTCTTGTAAAGAGCAGATTTAAGAACGAGAGCTTTGTGGTGTAACATGATGTACTTGTAATCATGAAGTGGAATATGAAAACTGAAGGAACTAGTTAATACAAGAACTCAGTCGAAGTAACGTTTACTGCTGGGCCACTGTTTTTGTATTACTTAAACACTTCCAGTTTTCCTCAGCTTGTGTTTTGAAAATGAACTTTCATTTCAGAACTAGAAATTTTTTTAAAACTTGAAAAAAATGATCAAACATTTATAAAAGTATAAAAAATATCAAAATACCTGACAGATTTTAATTCGGAACAGCAGTGCGTGGTTTTATTTTCCCGAGGACAGTCCGCCTCTAATAAAACGTGTGTACTATACGTAATACTTATTTAGTGTTTCGGACAAATTTTAACGTAAAAAAAACAACATTGTATATAATGAAGAACAGAGAAAAGTCGGTTGATGTGCACACAGTAAAAACTGTGAAAAAGATACAAACCTATTGTTTATATTCAAACGGTTTATACAAACTATCGATTTACAGAAGAATCATTTTGAGCATTAAACAAACACACACACACACACATATATATATATATGAAGAATTAAGCACATTAAATTTGAAATAAAACATTTATTTTAAATTTAGTTTTTAACCTAAAGATTCAAATCCCAAGGTTCACACTTGTATAAGGCAATCAACAAACCATGTTTTAGTCTAGAAATTTTGGAAGTTTCTGAGCTTAAAATGTTCTCATAGTAATGTTAAATACCTATAAGTGAAACAGAAAT